CACAGCACCACTTCCGGCTTTTTTCTTTTTGCTTATGTGTTGCTGAGGAATCGAACCCAGGGCCTCAAGCATGCAAGGCAAGTGCTCTACCACTGAGCCACCTTCCCAGCCCATACTAAATGCTTTTCTGGAAGGACATTATATATGCTATATATGTATGTTCAAGCAACTAGGTACGTAAAATATGTTTTCTTTTTTAAAGAAAGACTTGAGAAAGAAATGAGGTACATAAAATAATGAGAAAGTGATGAAAAGGAAAAGGACAGATTTTAAAAAATCGTAAATCTTACCTTCTTCTCTCTTCAGACTCATCCGTGCTGTAAATGGACGCCCCCTGCCACGCTGATACCCTGACAGTCTATGGTTATTTAATAAACTCATACCAAAACATGCAAAGGTTCACTGAGCTCATATGTCATTACTGGAGTTTCAAATATCCCCTTTAACCATACCACCCAATCAATGAGAACTATTTTTATTTTCTTACTGTTTTAAAAACACATTTGGAAATTTAAAACATTCCCTCCAATGAAATAATACTAAGGCAGTGATGTGCCTGATTCATAGAATTCTGAAGCAGTAACTTCTGAATTGCTTTTTAAAAATATGATTCCCTCACTAATTACCAATAAGTTTAACAAATAAATCAAAACAAAAAGGGGGTAAACCACACACACAACTGTATACCATTTTTAAGCTTACTCAGACCTGAATTTGAGTACTGAATTTAAGAAGTATTGCTCTACAATGACTTTCCACAAACTACTGTGTTAACTCTCAAAAATTTGAAAGTTACATCTGTATTTTTAGACACTTAATTCCTGAAAAGGCATTGTGCATATGAGCTTTGGCTAGACATTCAAACAATTTGTGTTCAGCAGAACTGATTTATTAACTGTCTCCTTGGGATTTTGAAAGCAATGAGAAAATAAAATAAAAAATCCAATAAAGAGAAAGTGAACACAATATTTCACAGAGTTAAAGGTTTCTCAGTCCATAAGTAAGAACCAGTTACAGCTTATTACCTCTAATACCAAAATAACATTTTCATGCAGTGTTTGCATTTCACCATCCGTAAGCATCAACTTCAACACCAGCAAACATTCACAGATGCACTGTCTTTGAGAGAAGCTTTAAATAGGCAAAACTCGTGAGTGGGATTTACTATATATACAAACCCATTTCCAAGCCAGTTACCCCTTTGCATATTTTTCTGAGGGGGCATCCATAAATATAATAAAAAAACAGAAGCTCATACTTACATCCTATTCCTTGTTACTTTCCAAGCTGAGAGTTTCATCTTGCATTAGTCACCATATGATCTCTATCATAATGGTGGGGGGTCAATGAATAGATTAGCTTTATGGGAATTTACAGTTCTTCCATGCATCTACTAATTTGGTAAGTCTGGTAATCACTAACCTATTTTTTAAAATCTCCCCCACTCAACTTAAATCTCTACAATCTTAAATTTTAATCTCAGCTCTACAGAAAAGGTTTTCCTAAGATTAAATTAAATAACTGCCCCCAGAAGTATACTACACTACACTGTTATTTCCGGTCCCTGTAATCCAGTTTAACTCTGACTTTGATGTTTATGTTGAAATCTAATAATTACTTTGTTCATATTAAAGTGAGATGACTACATAGTTTTAACTGAAGAAATTAAAGAGTATGTCAATGACCACTTTAATATGGTATTGGTCTTCTGTATGTTTCTACCTAAATATTAAACCTATTAAAATCATATAAAAATCATATTCTAATGTAAGGTTGATTTTCTTGTCTGTTTGCTTTGGGTTCTGTAAAAAGTCTAGATTGGTATCAAGTGAAAAACAAGAATACTACCTTATGTGTATCTCTGAATTTGCTGATCTCACGAGATATCAGGTCTCTTTTGTCTTCTTCCATTTCTATAGCATTTATATCCTCCTAAAAGACAAGGGAAATGTAAGGTAATGAATGAATCAATATCAATGAATAAATCTACATCAATATAAAAGGTTAGAAATTTTGTAAATATGACTGTTAAAAAACTGACAGTACATGTAACTTTCTGAAGTAATAAAAGATCAGACAGACAAGAAGCAAAAATAATCTGTCAATTAAACAGTATACATGGGTAGTGTCAAAGCCTACGATTTAAACGAACCTTAGTGATGAGTGGATAAGGGATCAGTGGGGCCACTGGAAATCTGCGGAAAATCTGCGGAAAAATCCACAAAGACTTTTTTTAAAAAACAGCTGTGCAGTTCAGCGTCCTATATATTTATAATGTAAGCAATACAGTATTTGTGATATTTTAATTTGCAATTGATAAATAACTTCATTTAAGGAAAGAAAGCTACATAGAAGCCAAGGATAAAAAAACAGCCAAAGCCTGCTAGCTTCCTTCTAAGTCTATTATCATTAGACTGGATTCTTTGTCTAGTCACATTTCCTTTCTTAAAAGTTTGTCTGGAGCATTAAAGCTCTCTTGCCCACTCCTATGCAATGGAGTCACTTTATTCTTTCTTTACTTCTTGGTTTGTTTCTGCCTCCATTGTTGGGATCAACCCCAACTAAGGCCTTGCATTTTTTGTTAACCCGTTCAATTACATTACTACTCAGATGTTCATTATTTATGAAATACAGGAATGGGAAAAAATTTCCCTGAGCCTTTGATCTCCATTTCTGAGGATTTTCATGTCATGTAAACTCATTAAATAAACTAGTTATTTTTTTTTTAAAAAAAGATTTCAGCCAGGCACCGGTGGCTCACACTTTTTATCCTAGCTACTCAGCAAGCTGAGAGCTGAGGATTGCAGTTCAAAGCCAGCCCTAGCAGGAAAATCCCAGGCTTTTTTTTTTTTGTGGGTAGGGGGGCTTGAACTCTGGGCCTGGGCACTATCCCTCAGCTCTTCAGCTCGAGGTGAGCACTCTATGGCTTGAGCCACAGGTCTACTTCCAGTTTTCTAGTAGTTTATTGAAGATAAGAGTCTCACAGACATTCCTGCCAGAGCTGGCTTTGAACCTCAATCCTCAGATCTCAGCCTCCTGAGTAGCTAGGATTACAGGCGGGAGCCAGCAGCACCTGGCAAGTCCCAGACTCTTATCTCCAATTAACTACCCAAAAACCAGAAGCGCTGCTGTGGCTCAAGTGGTAGAGCACTAGCCTTGGGCTGAAGAGCCCAAGAGACAGCACCCAGGGTCCGGAGTTCAAGCCCATGACCTACCAAAAAACAAAAAAAAAAGAAAGAAAGAAAAGATTTCATTATCTTCAAAACCTCTATCAAAAAATTTCTCTCCCTTCAACAACACTGAATAAATATGCAGCCAACTGCCACTGGCTTACACCTAAATATAATCCTAGCTACTCAGAAGGCTAAGATCTAAGGATTTTTATTCAAAGCTAGTTTGGGCAAGAAAGTGCATCAGACTCTCCTCTCCAATTAAACAAAACCTGGGAGTGGAGATGTGACTAAAGTGGTAGAGCACTAGCCTTGAGATCAGGGGAAGCACACGGGCACTGAGTTCAGGCCTCAGGACTGACATGCATACACAGACACACACGGCTGCGCGCGCGCGCGCGCACACACACACACACACACACACACATGCACACACGCTCGCACACACAATTAAATGATTTTATCTAAACCGGAAGTTTGGTGCAAGTGTCAACTGTAATAAAAATTTTAAAAAGCTGAGTAATAATAATGCAAGGCCCTAAGATCAAGAACTGGTTATCAGACACTCAGACATACAGACAGACATACAGAGACAGACACAGACACACACACAGACACACAGACACACACACACGGCCAAAAAGAAAATCCACAATGTCTAAAAAGGGCACCAATATCTAAGATAATATGAACTATCACTACTTATTGGAAACGGATCCTAATACATACATTTATAGTACTTTTTCATAGCATATGTAATCTATACATATAAAATACTTTGTAGTTTTTCATAAGTTTTATCTAAAGTGCTGAGTAAAAAAACCTCTCAAAAACTACGTTTTCAAAGTGACATAAAAAAACAAACTATAGAAATGAGTGTTAGAACACATACGTCCTCCTTCTTTTCCTTCTTCTTCTTTCTGGGATGAGAGTCAGATTCCTGCGAAGGGGCATTTAGCTCACTGGAGTATTCACGTATTAAAACTTCAATGGCCCCTTTAATCATCTGATCTCGTCTCTTTGTTTCTTCATCTAAGGCTTCTTCATCATCATTAGTGGCAGTTTCTGGCCTGGCATTCTTAAAAACCAAGACAAGTTAGAGGGAAGAAAAATCAAACAAAAATATGAAAACCCTTTAATTTTTTTTTGCCTGTCATGGTGCTTGAATTCAGCGCCTGGTCACTGTTCCTGAGCTTCTTTTGCTCAAGATTAGCACTCTACCACTTGAGCCACAGTGCCATTTCTGGCTTTTTCTGGTACTGAGGAATTGAACCCAGGGCTTCACGCATGCTAGGCAAGCACTCTACCACTAAGCCACATTCCTAGCCCTTGAAAATCTTACTGAAGAGGTAACAACACACATATTTCTTCAAAACACTTCCATATTCTTATTAAATGCAGTTCATTTTGCTGATACCTACTCTATCAAGTTAATAAAAGCAAGAAAAGGTCAAACAAAAAACACTGGATAGCTATACACACCAAAACACTAGCATCCAGAATGGTTAGGGACTAAAATGGTTTCTTTTGTACCCTCTGCTTATATATCTATAATTCAGGAAATAGCATCTGTACCCTAAAGATGAACCAACTCTTAAATACTACACATCTGCCAGGTGCAGGTGGCTCACGCCTGTAATCCTAGATACTCGGGGGGCTGAGATCTGAGGATTGTGATTCAAAGCCAGCCCAGGCAGGAAAGTCTGTGAGACTCTCATCTCTAATTAACCACCAGAAAACTGGAAATGGCGAAATGGTACGGTAGCTCACAGGTAGAGCACTTGCCTTGAGCTGAAGAGCTAAGGGACAGCAACCAGGCCGAGTTCAAGCCCCATGACTGACAAAACAAAACCAACAAAAAAAACTACTGGGCTAGGAAGGTGCTCAGTGATGGAGTGCTTGCCTAGCATGCATGAGGCTCTGGGTTCGATTCCTCAGCACCACATAAGCAGAAAAAGCCAGAAGTGGCACTGTGGCTCAAGAGGTAGGGCGCTAGTCTTGAGCTGAAGAGCTCAGGGACAGCACCCAGGCCCAGAGTTCAGGCCCTACGACTGGCAAAAAAACAAAACAATAAAACAAAAACCTACGTCTTTTCTTACTCATACATGTCATAAAAACAAAACTAAACACACTTCATGTGTCACTTCTCAAAATACATGACTACTTATTACTTTATTAATGACTTGAGAAATAAATGGTCTATTAGTTATTGTCTCTATTGGAAAAAAAATTATTGTCTTCAAATGTGTTATTATTGCTCTGGTAGTAGTGTCATTTTCCTTAAAAATACAACCAGAGGGCTGGGAAGGTGTCTCAGTGGTAGAGCACTTGCCTTGCTTGCTCAAGGCCCTGGGTTCGATTCCTCAGCACCACATAAGCAAAAAGAAAAAAGCCGGAAGTGGCGATGTGGCTCAAGTGGTAGAGCGCGAGCCTTGAGTTGAAGAGCTGAGGGACAGCGCCCAGGCCCAGAGTTCAGGCCCCACGACTGGACCCCCCAAAAAAAAAATACAACCAGAAAGCTGGGCACCGGTGGCTCATGCCTGTAATCCTAACTACTCAGGAGGCTGAGATCTGAGGATATTGTTCAAAGCCAGCCCAGGCAAGAAAGTCCCTGAGACTCTTATTTCTAAATAACCATCCGAAAAAGCACAAGTGGCATTGTGGCTCAATTGCTAGAGCGCTCACCTTGAGCTGAAGAGTTGAGGACAGTGCCCAGGCCCAGAGTTCAAGCCCCATGACCGACAAAAAAGAACAACAACAACAAAAAAAAAACCTGAATTATATAATAATCTCAAAACTCTTGAGATTATTTTGGGGCTAGGAATGTAGCTCAGTGGTAGAGTGCTTGCCTCTCATGCATGAAGCCCTGTATTCCATTCCTCAGCACCACATAAACAGAAAAAGCAGGAAGTGGTGCTGTAGCTCAAATGGTACAGTGCTAGCCTTGAGCACAGAGAGGCTCAGGAACAGTGCCCAGGCCCAGAGTTCAAGCCCTCCGACTGACATACATACATAAATAAGGCTGGCAAAGTGGCTCAGTGGTAGAGTGCTTGCCTTGCATGCATGAGGGCCTGGGTTCGATTCCTTAGCACCACATAAGCATAAAAGGCCAGAAGTGGCACTGTGTCTGAAGTGGTAGAGCACTAGCCTTGAGCTGAGCTGAGGGACAGCACCCAAGCCCAGAGTTCAGGCCTCATGACCAAAAAAAAAAAAAAAACTTTGGATAGTTTCAAGCTATTCTCAACTATTCTCCACTCAAAATATGGAAAAGGACAAAAACATGAAAAAGCAACATTAAACAAAACAATACATACACAAAATTTTTTCTGTAATTTATAACTGTGTATTCACATAACTCCTAAAATACTTATTAACTTACATGGCTAATATGCTATGCATGTTAGGATACATATAAGAACCATGCTCCTAACCAGGAACTACCGTTGGCTCACGCCTGTAATCCTAGCTACTCAGGAGGCTGAGATCTGAGGATGGTGGTTCAAAGCCAGCCCGGGCAAGAAAGTCCGTGAAATTCTAATCTCCAATAAACCACCAGAAAACCGGAAGTGGCGCTGTAGCTCAAGTGGTAGAGCACTCTCCTTGAGCTGAAGATCTGAGGGACAGTGCTCAGGCCCAGAATTCAAGCCCTACGACTGACCTTAAAAAAAAAAAAAAGAACCATGCTCCTTTATAGAAGTACCCAGCTCTTCACCACAATGCTGGCAACTCTACTGAAGGTGAGTTTCATGTCTTCTGATTTCTGTTAACAAAAGACTCCCAGTGACTTCAGCAGCATTTGTAAAGTTGTTTTCAATGAATAATTATTCATCAAGCCTTCATTTCTTAGTAATTCGCTGAGCAAATTCTTAGTCAATGTACTTTGACACTGTTTAAGGGCATAAAATTAGCTTTTTTTTTGGTGGTCCTGGGCCTTGAACTCTCAGCCTGGGCAATGTACCTGGATTCCTTTTGCTCAAGGGCAGCACTCTACCATTTAAGCCACAGTGCCACTTCCGGCTTCTTCTGTGATTAACTGGAGATGAGAGTCTCACGTAGTTTCCTGCCCAGGCTGGCTTCAAACCAAGATCCTCAGATCTCAACCTCCTGAGTAGCTAGGATTACAGGCATAAGTCACCAGGATCAAGCAAAATTAACAATTTCATAAAGAACTTTACTCTCAAGGATTTGCTAACATAGAGCAAGAAAGGAATTATGATGCAGATAACATCAACAAAGGGCATTATATGATATGATAAAACTACACATTCTAATAAAAGTTTCTTACTTTCTCAAACCTGCCTCTGCATCCAATCTTTTTTTTTTTTTTTTTGGGGGGGGGGTCCGGTCGTGGGGCCTGAACTCTGGGCCTGGGCACTGTCCCTCAGCTCTTCAGCTCAAGGCTAGCGCTCTACCACTTGAGCCACAGCGCCACTTCTGGCTTTTTTCTTTTTTGCTTATGTGGTGCTCATGCATGCAAGGCAAGTGCTCTACCACTGAGCCACCTTCCCAGCCCTCGTCCAATCTTCTAGTAGCCCACTTCCTATTTGGCATCTTAAAGATACTTTACACAGTACTATAATTAAATATTGACATTATTTATCAACAATGTAGTGAATGCAGATTTACAGTGAAAAGTTCCTTTTTTAACTTAAAATGGATAACAGTTAGTAGCAAAAATTTAATTTACATATGTCATTAAAAGCCCCTCAGTTCTATACCACACTTCTCTAAAGGTCTTATATGAAAACAGAACTCCCAAGTTGGTGGTCTAGAAGTACAGAATCTTGTCTTGAAGCACACAATGGTTCAAACTCCTTAGTTCTTTTTGGCTTTTGGATCTCAGCCTGTCAAATGCTAAAACTATAGGCATGTGTCACCACACCCACTTAAAACTGTTTTTTGGGTTTTTTGCCAGTCTTGGGGCTTAAACTCAGGGCCTAGGCACTGTTCCTGATCTTCATTTGCTCAAAGTTAGTACTCTACCACTTGAGCCACAGCACCACTTTTGGCTATTCCTGTTTATGTGGTACCGAGGAATCAAATGTAGGGCTTCATGCCTGCTAGGCAAGCACTCTACTACTAAGCCATATTCCCAGCCCAAACTGTTATCTTTTGAAAACCAATACTGGCACTTGAAAGTCAGGGTTTTACACTCTTGCTTAGCTTTTTTTTTTTTTGGGGGGGTCCGGTCATGGGGCCTGAACTCTGGGCCTGGCCGCTATCCCTCAGCTCTTCAGCGCAAGGCTAGTACTCTACCACTTGAGCCACAGTGCCACTTCTGGCTTTTTGCTTTTGTGGTGCTGAGGAATCAAACCCAGGGCCTCAGGCAATCAAGGCAAGCGCTATACCACTGAGCCACCTTCCCAGCCCCATTGCTTAGCTTTCTGGCTTCTTGCTAGTTACTAGAGCTAGGAGTCTCTCAGATTTGTCTGCCCAGCCAGGCTTTCGATTGCAATTCTCAAATAGTCATCTGAGTAACTATACTTACAGGTGTAAACAACTAATACACGGGTCCAGTTTAAGAAAAAAAATCGCTAGGGAGTTAAGCTAAAAAAATTGACCCACACATTCACTAGAGCAAGGAAAATCTGAATAATCTTGGTGCATACAACTGTCTTCCTATTTTTTTTGTTTTAATAATATGAGAACAGTATGATTTGCTGAACAGATATAACTTATACTCCAAAGAAATTGTATTTTTATTATTTCCTTACACATATGGGCAAGGATAGACTATCAGGTGAGCAACACAACTTCAACTCTTACTAAATGAATGTTTGCTCCATTACTTTAGGGAATTTAGGGAAGGCATTTTCCTTTGTAATTTGGAAGTATAAGATGAAAGAGTCAATTTGTAAACTTATTGCTCTTTTTATTTAAAATAAAGGATATGGAAAAGGGAGCGATGTAGGAACTAGAAGACAATATATACCATAGAGCAGACTGATATACATCAATAAAAATCCTGTGTTTATGGAAAGACATGTAAGAGGGTACATGAAGGCCACATGAGTGAAAGGGACAAATGCAAATCTGTGACAGAATTTCAAAAGGAAGCTTTGATGAGCAAGAAGGATCTGTCAGCTAAAAACAAAGAAAGTTTGTAGAGTATGACAACAGGTAAATGGAACAGGCAGGGAAAAGGAAAAGTTGGAAAGGTAAAAAAAAAAAAAAAATCAAGCAATCCTAAATGTCATGCTAAGTAAAAACATAGGCTTGGGGCTGGGAAGGTAGCTCAGTGGCAGAACGGTAGAATGATTGTCTTGCATGCATGAGGCCCTGGGTTTGATTCCTCAGCACCACATAAACAGAAAAGGCTGGAAGTGGTGCTGTGGCTTATGGGGTAGAGCACTAGCCTTGAGCTGAAGAGGTGTGTGTGTGAACACACACACATAGATATACATGTATGTACATATATATGTGTATATATATATATGTGTATATATATATATGTATACACACACACACACACAGGCTTTATTCAAAAAGACACTCACAGCATTAAAAATAGGTTATAAAAAGCAGTATACTGATATAATTATATTTCTACTTCAGAAATATAGGCAGTTAAGTAGGGCACTGGTGGCTCACGCCTATAATCCTAGCTACTTAGGAGAGTGAGATCTAAGGATCCTAGGTTTGAAGCCAGCCTGGGCAGCAAAGTCCATGAGTCTCTTACCTCCAATTAACTATCTGAGAACTGAAAGTGGAGCTGTGGCTCAAAGTGGTAGAGCACTAGCCTTGAGAAAAAAAGCTAAAGGAAACTCCATGACCAACAAAAAAGAAATACAGGCAATAAGGTAAAGCCCAAACACACGAAAAAAAGAGTACATTACTAAAAATCCAAGGACAGAACTAAGTAAGGGAGGAAAAACTGTTTGTAAAACAATATAATACAATCTTATCTTTATGAAAGGAAACAAATTCACATAACATTATTCTAAAACTATATTCAGCCACACAAAAGTCTCTAGTATATGACAAAAAAGGCATGGTTATAGTGATGAGTATAATTGTATTTGAATTCCTCTTTATACTTTGCTCCATTTTGTCAGTTGATTTTTCTTTTCTAAGCAAAGAATATATAAGGCTTTTACAAATGGAGTGAGACAAGAAAGTTATTTCTATCTTAAGAGATAACAAAAACTTGATCAGAGCAAAGGCTATTATGGTTTTGTTTTCCTTGGGAGATTTGGTCAGGTTAAGATGCCAAAAAGGAAACAGGAAGGGAAAGTCAGGCAACACACAGTGTAGTTAGGTTTAAGCTTTGTTTTTGTTTGAGATGAGGTGATAAATACAGTAGAACACAACACAGTGCACAAAGATTTCCTTTACTTATAGTGTTACTTATGATAGTCTGGACTTAAAAAACAAAAAGATGTTGGTGTCTCATGCCTATAATCCTAACTACTCAGGAAGCTGAAATTTGAGGACTGAGGTTGAAGCCAGCCCAAGCAGGGAAGTGAGAGAATCTCATCTCCATTTAACAACCAAAAAAGCTGGAAGTGAAGCTGTAGCTCAAGTGGTAGAGTGCTAGCCTTGGGCTAAAAAGTTCAGGGATAGTATCCAGGCCTTGACTTCAAGGCCCAGGACCAGCATATAAAAATAAAAAACCCAGATAGTTTAATAAAATTACTCAAGTATAGTTAAGACTTATTTTCATTCATTTTAAAGTCTCTGTAAGTTTAAAAGAAAGGGAAACTAATAAAGATTTTGTAGGTTGAAATGCATTTTGTACTTACTTACAAAGCTGCCTTAATGAATTAGCTCAGTTTGGAATAGTCTGTACCAGTGTTTTCTCTGGCAAGTTAACCTTGTCCAGCCTCCCTTACTACCTTCATCCCAACCTGGAACAAGCAAATCAACAGTCATCCACCCACTGTGGGTAGATAGTAAACACTTAAAAGTAACTACAAACAATAAAATACTTTTCTGCATTTAAGTCATAAGCATATAGTATGATGCTGATGACCTTGTTCCCAAGTTAGATTTACTTATAATGGAAGCATTTACGTTCAAATAGCTCAGCTGGCCTAGAAATTTAACACTATAGAAAACATATCCCAAAGCATAAAGATGGAAGCATAGTTCAGGTGGTATAGAGCCAATCAATCAGCACGAGTGTTGGATACCAAGCTTAAGTCCCGGGCTTGAACAACAACAACAACAAAAACACATACCCCATTTGAAGCTTTCTTCTTTGCTTTCCATTCATCCAGCTGTGCCTTGGTCTTTGCATCAACTTTTACAAGTAGTTTCTTCTCCCCAATCTGCAGGTCATGCAATAATCTAAGTGCCCGGAGGGTAGATTCAGGCTCCTTATATTCACAGAATCCAAAGGCTAGCAATACATGTAAAGAATTAGTCAAATATTAATACAATTATGAATTGTTTTCTATTCTGGGAAAGAAAAATCATTAAAGACAAAATAGGATATGTGGAACTTGTAAGTTATTACATTATGCCTGTCCTTTGATAAACAACTAAGAGAAAAAATTAAATCTAAGTGAAAGGAAAAAGATTCAAATCAAGCAAAGCTATTTATCAGAACATCTGATAAAAGATTAGCAAGCAACCAATTCTGTAACATAAAATTATGACTTATTTTATAAATCATCCTACTCATACTTCCTAACTTAGTCACAAACAGCTCGGATTATCTATGAGAGATTAAACTTTAGAAAAACAGAACTTTTATCTTAAGTAGTGTTATTTTTCTATATTTAATTTTAATTAGCCAATCTCACTTTCTTTTTCTTTTTTGAGTAAGGGTTTTGCTGTGTAGCCAGGCTTGGTCTTGAACTTGCAATCTTCCTGCCTCAGCTTCCTGAGTGCTAGAATTATAAGCATGTATCATAATGTCTGGCATCAATCCTACAATTAATGTGAATTAAATCAAAGAAAGAAAGGAATAAAGATCCAGTTAAGACACTGGTAGCACACACCCATAGTCTTACCTAGCTGAAAGCCAGCATAGGAAGAAAAGTCTGAAAGACTGTCTCCAATTAAAAATGTAAGAATACTGGAGGTGAGGTTCAAGTGGTAGAGCACCAGCTATGAGTGAAAAACCTGAGCTAACATTCAAGGCCCTGATACATACACACACACACAAAACAACTTAATTTAGTACTCTAAGTGATTTTTAAAACAATTTCCAATTAAAAGTAACCAGATACAGAAACGGTGGGACAAAGATAAACCAATTCAGCAGTGATATTCACCAAATACTATGTTGGAAATCAACTACACAATTTGGGGGAGGGGAGATAGGAGGGAAAAAACTGGGTGACACTGTTCAAAAGGAAATGTTCTCATTACCTGACTTATGTCACTGTAACTCACCTGTATATCACCTTTACAATTAAAAAAAAAATAGCCAAACTTTCTTTGAAGAAATGATAGAATCTAAACCTGAGGTAGAAATAACAATAAATAAACACCTTGTCATATCAGATGTTAAAAACCAAAATAGGTGCTCCTACTGTAAGCATAAAAGGTAGTTTACTCTCAAGAGTAACAGGCAAATCAACTATACAACTTGTGGATGGGGACAGGAGGAAAACACTGGGAAAGAATGAGAAATAAGAAAAGGGGAGACTTTGTCCAAAAAGAAATGTACTCATCTGACTTAAGTAACTGTAATCTCTCAGAACATTGTATTTGTAATAATAAAAAGTGATTTGTAGGGGCTGGGAAGATGGCTCAGTGGTAGAGTGCTTGCCTTGCATGCTTGAGGCCCTGGGTTCGATTCCTTAGCACCACATAAGCAAGAAGAAAAAAGCTGGAAGTGGCGCTGTGGCTCAAGTGGTAGAGTGCTAGCCTTGAGCTGAAGAGCTGAGGGATAGCGCCTGGGCCCAGAGTTCAGGCCCCATGACCAGACCCAAAAAACAACAAATAAAAAGTGATTTGTAAAAGCGGGGAGGGGCTGGGAAGGTAGCTCAGTGGTAGAATGCTCACCTAGCATGCACTGAGGCCTTGGTTCAATTCCTCAGCACCACATAAACAGAAAAAGGCAGAAGTGGTACTGTGGCTCAAGTGGTAGAGTGCTAGCCTTGTGCAAAAGCACCTCAGGGACAGTGTCCAGGCCCTGAGTTCAAGCCCAGGACTGGGGGAAAAAAAAACCCAAAAAACAAAAAGTAACATGCTATCTGATCATCTTCCTTTCTTTTTTTTTTGGTTGGTCATGGGGCTTGAACTCTGGGACTGGGTGCTGTCCCTGAGTTTTTCAGCTCAAGGCAAGGATTCTTACCACTTTAGCCACAATGTCACTTCCAGTTTCCAGTGTTTTATTGGAGATAAAGAGTCCCATGAACTTTTCTGCTTGGGCTGGCTTTGAACTGGGATCCTCAGATCTCAACTTCCTTAGTAGCTAAAATTATAGGCATGAGCCACTGGCACCTAGAAGTCTGATCATCTTTCTCCTATTCATTTCCTAAATTCTATTTCTTCCATGTTGGTCATATAGTTCTATTTACAGATAAAAAGAATTCTTTTTTTGTTGTTGGTGGTGGTGGTCATGGGGCCTGACCTCTGGGACTTGGCACTGTCCCTCAGCTCAAGGCTGAGCCATAGTGCCACTTCTGGCTTTTTTCTGCTTATGTGGTGCTGAGGAATCAAACACAGGGCTTCATGCATGCAAGGCAAGCACTCTTCCACTGAGCCACCTTCCCAGCCCCCAGACAAAAAGAATTCTTGAGAGTACATAGATGGCTCATCCCTGTTATCCCAATTACTTGGGTGCTAGAGAGCACGGTTTGGGGCCCCAGTTTAGGGCTGAATATGATGACACATTATCTCTCAGTTATGCAGGAGGTACAAATATGTACTATAAAATATTCACAACCCTCAGGCTGGGAAGTTGGCTCAGTGGTAGACTGCTTGCCTTGCATGTATGAGGTCCTGGGTTTGAGTCCTCAGCACCACATAAACAGAAAAAGCCAGAAGTGGCGCTGTGGCTCAAGTGGTAGAGCACTAGTCTTGAACTGAATAGCTGAGAGACAGCACCCAGGCCCATAGTTCAGGCCCCAAGACTAACACACACACACACACAGACACACACACACCACCACACAAATATTCACAACTCTGAAAAATAACTACAACAAAAAGGATAGAAGGCACAAAGCAGTACTAAGAGTGCCTGCCTACTAAATGTGAAACCCTAAGGTAAAATCCAACTATTACTCAGAAATAGGTGGCTCATCCCTGTAATACTAGGTTATCAGGAGGCTGAGATCTGAGAATTACAGTTTAAAGCCAACCAAAGTAGGATAAGTCCGTGATACTGTTATCTCGTTAACTACAGAACAGCTGTGGCACCAGCCTTGAATTCAAAAAAGCAAGAGACAGTGCCCAGTCCTTGATTTAAGCTCCAGTACCAACATACATACCCCAAAACTAGCACTATCACAATTTAAAACAAGAATAAAGTTTTCAAATATAACAAAATACTTGGAGGACTGGGAAGGTGGCTCAGTGGTAGAGTGCTTGCCTTGCATGCCTGAGGCCCTGGGTTCAATTCCTCAGCACCACATAAGCAAAAAGAAAAAAGCCAGAAGTGGCGCTGTGGCTCAAGTGGTAGAGTGCTAGCCTTGAGCTGAAGAGATGAGGGACAGTGCCCAGGCCCAGAGTTCGGCCCCATGACCGGACCCAACACAAAAACAAAAACAAAAAAAAGAAAATACTTGGAATATTGATTTGTTCTTCCCCTTTCTCCTTCGTCCTACTTTTCCCTTTTTAATTTCAATTCTTAGCTAATGTAGTCTCACTTGCCTTTTTTTTTGGCCAGACCTGTGGCTTGAACTCAAGGCCTGTCCCTGCGTTTCTTTTGCTCAAGGTAGCACTCTACCACTTGAGCCACTTCTAGCTATTTCTGTCTAGGTGGTACTGAAGAATTGAACCCAAGGCTTCATGCATGCTAAGCAAATACTCTACCACTATGCCATATTACTAGCCCCTCACTTGCCTTTTAATACTATTTTAATAAGACAACCACTGTAAAATATACTGAGT